TGTTTTTCAAAATTGGTTTGTGTCTAGATCTAGAACAGCGCAAACCAGTGGAAGGAAGAGTCTAGAATCACTGTGTCCCTTGAAGGTTACCATGAGAAGCAAGTGTGTTCAGAAAATGGGATGGATTAGACAAACTCTAGGTAGTGATGATTATATTCAGTGGGATTGAGAGATAGTTTTCTCATCTTCTCCAACTTCCTATTTTGAAATGATACTGATACTGAAAATGAGTGTTCTCTTTATCAGCTTGGCATTGTTGAAAAGAGGAATAACTTTCTTTGTGTTGTTCTGATGTTGATTCTTTTCTCTAGTGCTTGCTTCTCATAAATTAATCTAAACTAAGGAATGCTGAATTTCTTAAAGTTGGAAGTTTCTAACTTCATTTCCAATGAAAATTTAAACCAATTCAAAAATTTCAGAATTAGATTGAAAGAGATGAGGGATATCCCACTTTTAGTGCGTATACTACTGTATTTCTTACAACTAGCCTTCCAGCTGGGAGACCAGCTTGTATTTATAGTACACAACATTGGTTATAAGTTCAACAGGGTTCACCAGGGCTGAAATTGTTCCAGCAGTGTCCATTTATACTGTGTCTCAAGCTGAACTGGTGCTTTGTGAGTCAGCTTGGAGATCTTCTGTGTAAATTGTCCCAGCAATGTCTCTGTTTACCTCTGGGGTCCTGTACCTTTAAGCTCGTACAAAGGACTCATAAAATAGAACCAGGAGTGCCCCATCACAGTTAATAATGTCACTCTGTGGCCCTAATACTTCCTTCTGTAAAGATACACTCTATATTTTGGTGTGTAATCTGTTGTTTATTTTATTCCTTTAGAGTATTTACAGAGTTACTCCATTTATGATTAGAAATAAATACAGAATGTCTCATGCCTGTGGTTCCTTCATGAATTGGTGTAGATTCCTTTTCCTTTGGGGCTATAATTTGCCCTTTCTTAAGACTGTATTAGAAAGTTTTAATACAGTTATGTTTTTTTGCCTGCTTGCTCTTTTTGGAAAAAAAAAAAAAATCAAGACTATGATTCAGACCCTCTATGTCTTTGGTTCCTGGAGTTCCTCTGGTTCCAGAGGTTGAGGATATCTGCTATGATTTGTCTGTCTGTTCTACAAAAGGTATCATTTTTTACAGTTGAGACTTCAAATGTTTCAAATTCTTGTTGGAGAATCATAGAACTATGACAAATACTTTTGGTGTCATTTATGTGTCCAGCCCTGGTGGCACAGTGGTTAAGTACTATGGCTGTTAACCAAAAGGTCAGCAATTCGAATCCACCAGCCCCTCCTTGGAAACCCTTATGGGGCAGTTCTACGCTGTTCTATAGGGTCGCTATGAGTCGGAATCAACTTGATGGTAACAGGTTTGGTTCTTTATTTTTTTGTTTTGTTTTTTTTTGTATGTGTCCAGGCTAAACTTTTTCTTTGCAGAAATGAACACTTTAACTAACATTTAGCAATCTCAAGCAAAATAAAATAAAGATAAAAATCTCAAAGAATTTTATTTCACGAAAAAAAGGAAAAATCAAGTCCAATTTCAGACATATTATTAAAACAGAAAACAAACTTTTGCTTCATAGGGGAAATTATTAATTGCTTCAAGCAGAACATCTGAATGACTGATTTCAATATTTTGATATCCTTACTATTGTCTTTTTTTTTTAAAGTCTTCAGAGTGGCCCTTGACTTCACTTTATATTAAATCATAATAATTATCATATGTGGTTTGAATAGCAATTAGTTTCTCATTAATTGCCAGGTTACTCAGAACTTCCTTCAGGGTTAGTCACTGACCCCAGACACAGTACAAGAGTCCCCATTGCCATCTTCCTCAATTTGATCACAAGTTACAGAAACCTATCAGTGTCCTTCTCAAACATTAGTGTGCTTCTTAAATATTAGTGTGCAGCATACAAATCACCCGGGGACCTTGTTAAAATGCAGATTCTGATTCAGTAGGACTGGGTTGAGGCCTGAGATTTTGCATTTCTAACAAACTCACAGCCAATGCTGCTGGTCTGAGTAGACCTCAGTTTGAGGCGCAAGGATCTCGAAGACTATTTATGGGCCACAATCTGAGTTCAGAAACTTCCTGATATTAAAATTAAATAAAATAAGAAAGAATGGAGAGCAACAAGGAGAAGTGAGAAAACTAGAGGTAAGAATTGGGTAAGGCATGAATAAAAAGACCTTTGAGGAACAATGAAGCATTTCCCACAGAGCTAACACAGAGTAGGCTAGGTGTCTACATATAACATGGGACTGGAGAGGAGGAGGGAAGGGAATCTAACTTTTGTTGAGTTTCTTCTATGCAACTTATAGTCTGATATATGAGAAAGATAGGTAGATAGATAGATGATAGATAGATTGACAGATTGATAAACAGATAGATGTGTATATATATGGAGATGATAGACAAATAGCTAGATATTCTGCTTTTCTCCAAAAAGGTTTGAAGAGGAAGGTGTACTAGTTGATCTCACTTGCAATACATTGCTTCAGCTCTCAAAACAACTCTTTTTTAAAATGTATATGGAGATAAATAGATATGGATATAGACATAGGTGAAAATCTGAGGCTTGGAGTAATTTTTTTCAAAGCTCCAAAATTCATGCTTCGACCAGTCAGAGGGCCAGACATAGGTAAAAGAACATGAACGGGACAGGGGCATAAAGGAAAGTATTGGGGACTGGAGTGAGAAGAAATTAGAGAAGAGGATGGAAAAGTCCAGAAAGAAAGGAAGAGGAAAAGGCAGTGACTGTGAGGCTTCTGGGAAGCTTCTGTGAGCATGTCTAAGATCCCAACACTCTCTTCACGAACACCAAGAAAAGCACTAAACATCTGTACTCAACCCTGTCAGAACTCTGAAAAAGCAGGCAAAGGATGACAGCAAAGAGCTGCAAACTAAAACAAGATAAATATGAACATTAAGCAGTAGGAAAATCTCTTTTTCTACTGTCTCCAACCCTCATCCTCCTAGCTCATAGTGTCCTTCAGACTGTCAAATAGGCAGATGCCAGCTGCAAGTTTGGGTAGTCCACACAGCACTCCAACTTTCTGACCTGCTGGCCATAAATTTGGAGCTCGTTTCCCACTACCTCTTCAGGATGCCAGCTACAAGCTCGGGAGTCCACATGACACCCTTACTTTCTGACCTGCTGGTTCCTATTGCCTCTTTGAGTTCAATAATTCATTGGAATAACTCATAGAATTCATGAAGAATATATGATACTTATGACTACAGGTTTATTATAGCCAGAAAGAATACAAACAGAGAGACAGGTAGGGCAAGGTCTGGGAGGGTTCCTAACATGAAGCTTTCATACCTCAAGGGATGCACTACCCTTCCAAGAGCAGACATTCTCATCAGCCAGGAAGCTCTCTGAGCCTTAGGGTTCCAGGCTTTTATTGATACATGATAGGCTAAACCATGCCTCCCAAAGCTTGTTGATATCAGCCTCCCAGGTGAGTCTTTTCTGGTCTGGCCAGTCCCTACTCACCAGCACAAATCCTCAGGTGTGGCCTGGAAGTCCCAGACCAAGGCACCCCAGTTGCTCCAAGGGTTATTTCTCCAAGGACAAAGGCCACCTTAATTGGGGTAAAAACTAAGTCCTTTACCCTACATCCACTCAGTGTTCTCCTCCCCCTTCCAGAGCTGCTTTTGCCTTGGTAGGTCCTCTGAAACCCCTTCTCTGAGATGATTAATCTCCCAGAGACACTCAAAATTCTCCAGTTACCTTCCTAGATGAAATAGGTATTTTGTCAGAAACTACATGCTTGTTAAACATATAAAATAAAGAAGGGGGAAAAGACCTTACAACCTACCCAGTATTTGGGGGGAAATGGTATATATTAAAATAAGGGGAAAAGAAGTTTATATTTACTGTTAACACTGATGACTATAGCACTTTGGAATCCTAAAAAACAAAACAAAGCTATTACACATGTGCATGATATTTGAGCTGCATTCTTCCTGGAATGTAGAATGAGTGTTTTAAGTAAAGGTGAAGGACAAGAACATAAAATGCTGATAGAGTTTAGATAGCATCATGTTTCCTAGCAACACAAATCCCACGACTGGGTGGCTTTAAAGCACAGCACTAAATTTCTCACAGTTCTGGAGGCTAACAGTCCAAATCAGGTGTGCGATATTTGCATAAAATATGGTTTATGTTTCTGTAACTAACTGTCACAATTATGTAACGTATAATATCCCAGTAAAATAGCTTGGATTTTATCCAAAGGCAGGGAAAAATACAAAACAAAAATATATTCAAGTATTTTCAGTTGGTGTTAAAAATGTCAGAGTACACTTTGATTTCTTGTCTGTTCTTTTTCTTTTACAGAAAAAACTGCTATTGCTCAGCCAGTATTTGTTTTTGAAAAGAGAGAACAAGCTTTTAAGGTAAGATTGCGCTGCCTTTCGTTGTTTGTTTTTTACTTTAACGAAGAAAATTGTATTCCAAGAAGCTAACTATGCTAAAAGATGCCACTACTGCGTATGTTTATCTTCTTGTTCTTCACTTAGCGGAGTGGTGCCTCCAGAATATTTATGTAGTAAGGATTCAGAGACAACAATCTGGCTGAGACAGGAAGTCAGAGGCCTTGTCTAGAAACTATGGATAATACGTTGTTTTTACTAAAATTATATGTTTATTTGGGGTGACTTGGAAAGGTGAGGGACTGAAAAAGATTAGGAGGGCTGAAGCTCCTCATGGATCCCACTACTGACCTAGCATAAAACTGGGTGTAAAGTAAAAGTTCCCAACTGAGATGTTTGATTTAAAAAGGATCTTAAGGACCCTATCTGCTTTTTCAGCATCATACTAAAATCACCTACTTTGAAAGACATACGGCAAGATTAATAGCATTCTCACTTAAGCTTACCTATTATTTTCTTGTTAATCATTCTTACCTATACAAATAACATCACTCTAGTACCCACAAAACACACTAACTAAAGATAAACTCAACATTCAAACCCTAGATTTCTCAACCTAAGAATCATCTCCAAGCTGTTGCTAAAAAAGCAGATTCCTGAACCCCACAGAGACCTACCGCTTCAGCAGCCTGAGAGTCCTTCCCTCAAAATCTGCATTGTAAACAAACTCTCCCAAGGGGTTCTCTAGTCACTGAAATATAATATCACAGTAGTAGACTTGGCTTTTTCTTGAATCACCTGCCTAATTGAATAAAGGTGAGTTGCTTTGTCCTGGCTGGCTGAATAGACCTGGCTTCTGAGAATCCTGTTACAAAGCGGCAGGAAGGAAATTTGATGTAAAAACAGCAGTCAGGTCTCATTTGCAGTTTTGTTTCCTTTCAGAGACCTGCAGAAGACACCCTGTATGAAGCAGCAGAACACGGTAATGATTTACATCCTATATTTCAAAATCAATCTTTATAGAAGAAAATAAACACAAGCATTTTGGTATGTGCACACAGACTCTGTAAAACCAACACTTAATGGTTTTCCTTGTTTTTTTTTTTTTAATTTTTTTTTATCGTATTTTAGATGAAGGTTTACAGACAAATAGTTTCTCCTTAAACAGTTGGTACACATATTGTTTTATGACATTGGTTAACAATCCCACGACATGTCAACACTCTCCTTTCTCGACCTTGGGTTCCCTATTACCAGCTTTCCTGTCCCCTCCTGCCTTCTAGTCCTTGTCCCTGGGCTGTTGTGCCCCATTAGTCTCATTTAGTTTTATGGGACTGTCTAATCTTTGGCTGAAGGGTGAACCTCAGAGTTTTCCTTGTTTTTAAACATGCAAGTAGGCTGGCTTTTATTTTTTTTTAATTTTTTTTTTTTGGCTTTTATTTTGAAAGATGACATGCAAGTACCTGAGAACACTGATACTAGCAACTAAAATTCCCTGATTCTGCACTGTGTGTCCCTCAGACAGCCCACCAAAAATCTTCTCCTTAGAAACTCAGAATTAATATGCAATTTCTTGCTGAATGCCTTCCTTGTTGTTTCATACTATGTAGTATGATATGCCCATTGGTTTATAATCAGCAACCTATTAATCTTAATATTTAAAACTATGCATCAGTAGTTAATATTTTATCAAATGATTTTCTCTGTAGACAAAAGGAAACTCTATATATCCTTCCATATCATGGGAGGATAATGTGTTATTGCAAGGAATTTTACCCTTCATGTTGAATTTCTTGCAGAACGTAATGGTTTTTCAAGAAAGCGTGTACGATCTTCATCTTTTACTATCCCTAGTTCAGATTCTCAGTCCCAAGGAGGTAGGTGTAGTTTTAACTGTTGACTGCTGACTGCTAATGTTTACGTGAATGTGAAGTTACTAAGAAATATTTAAGGCTATCCATTGGATTGTTCTTTATAATATATTGTTGTATGAAAACAGCAGGCTATAAAATGGATTGTACAGTAACTGACTGTAAAATTTCAATTTATCAGTTTTGAAAAAAAGACTAGAAGGACATACATCAAAATGTTAATAGCAATTATCTTAGGTAATGAGATTACAAGTAATTTGTCCCCTGCCCCTTGTATTTTGCTGTTTCCAAAGTTTCTGCATTGAACATGTGTACACTTTGTAATTAGGGGGAAATGATATTTTTAATGTAAACATCTACTTAAATAAATGGATGTCTGCCCTTTAAAATGACGAGTTATTCTAAGAACTTTATCATATACCATATTCTGAGTAAATCAGTAACTTAGCTTGCCTCTCTCTTCTACACTCTAAGCACTCAGGTAATTACTTTTATGATGGGTTGTATTGCCCTTTGCCTTGTAATATAGCTACTGATGTATATGTCTGTCTCCACCACTGTTGAGTTTCTTGAGGTCATCTTCATGCCTGATACAGTGTCTTACACATGTGAGCACTCATGAAATACTTATTGAATTAAATGGAAATGAATTCATAATCCTAACTATAGGCATACTATATTTTTTCCACTGATAAAAGTAAACCAAAACTTTTTATAACTTAATGATATAGAAAATTTTATAAAACAGTAAAAATCCAAATCAAAACAAACAAAAAACCCCACTTTCCTATTGACTTAAGTTTGCAATCTGCTTTCAGCATCAACCTTGTCCCAGAAGAGAATGAGATCAGCATTCTTCACTGACCACCCCACTTTCCCCCCTTCTGGGCCAGGTAATAAAGAGCTTCTAGAGCCCCAAGCCTCACACTCTGACTTTTCAAGATCCATCCTCATTTATGATGAGTTTTGTTTCTTAGCTATCAGAAAATGCTGAGATTTTAGTGACAAATCAAACATGTGCTGCAACAGAGTATACATGGAATAATACTTTATGAATTGTAACCCCACAAATCCAGATAGTCCGTGTATTTATTTTTGGCAGAAAGTTTGAACATGGTGATGTTTTCTAGGAGTTCATATTTATGATTATGTTTTATGCAAGATAGCCCTATAAAAGAAGCAACTATTGTTTAAATTCTTATTCTGAAGTTTATGCTTTGGATTCATATTCTAAAGTTTAGAATATAATTTAGTTTGAACTTTTCACTAATGAAAACAGTACTTCTTTTTATTTGAAATCTGTAATGCTTTGCTAAGTAAAACTATTTTTAACATAATATTTGCAAGGGTTGAAACTTTCTCCACATTTAAATTATGATTTGTATTCTTGTGTGTTTTTGTTTCTACTAAGGAAATATTATTTTCCATAATAATATACATGATACAAGTTAATCTTACTGCTAATAAATACAAAATATAAACTATTTACTTCCTCTTAACTGATGCTTTTCTACCCAGAAATTACATAGTTTTCAAACTAACAAATCTATATTCTTATTAATAATTCCAAGCGTGACTGAGTTACAGTATGCCAAGCTCCTTTTAGACACAGAGGAGCCACTCTCTGGCTCAACACAAGTTACAGACATTAAGAGGAATAAGGGTCCTAATACAGAGACAAAGGTGGTCTGTTTTATTGTATTTGTGCATAAACAAGGGGATGGCTTTAAGTTAACTGGATAACTGCTTTAATTCATTTTAATTTTAAAGAATCAGAACCTCCCCCCCC